CTAGACCCTTCATCAGAAGAAGGGTCTAGGCCCGAAACGTCAGCCTTCCTGCTCCTACGATGCTGCTTGGCCTGCTGTGTTCATCCAGCTCTGCACCTTGTTGTCTCAGATTCTCCAGCATCTGCAGTTCCTACTATCTCTGATACTATAGTAAAAACTGTATGTTTTAGAGTTTAGAAGGCTGAGAGGAGATCTGATTGAAATGTATAAAATTCTAACAGGGCTGGACAGACTAACGCAGGGAGGATTTTCCCCCTGCTTGGGGAGTACAGAACTAGGGGTCACATTCTCAGTGAAAAAGGTCATCCATTTAGGATAAAATGAGGAAACATTTCTTCACACAAAGGCTGTGAACCTGTGGGATTCTCTACAGCCGAAGACTGTGGAGTCTGAGTCACAAATATAGTCAAGAAAGATAATATTTCAATATTAAAGGCATCCAAGGTTATGGGACAAAGCAGGAATATGACATTGAGACAGAGAATCAGCCATGAACATATTGAATGGCAGAGTGGTGCAAAGGGATGATGGCCTACTCCTGCTAGTTTCTTTGTTTATCTAGTCAGACCAGGGCTCACATTTCATGCTCAGCAGGAAGTCATGGGTAACCTGGGTGTGATCCAGCTCATGTCTGTATGCTGTCATCATGGGGGTGTTGGACTGGTACCACCAGATCCTGCAACCAATGATCAGGCTCCATTACAACCTGTAGTCCCAAGACTGGGATAAAAGGCAGATGTTCTTCTGTTTCCCACTTGGGACTCACTGAGTGAGTCCCCTGGTATTAATCCATTTGAATTAGTTTACAGATACCAAGTGTCTGATACAATCAAGCAAAGGGTTTTAGAACAGAAAGGTTCGGTCTCCATGTCAGGCTGCATTGCAAAGTTCCGACAGTAACACCTACAAGCCTGTGATGTAGCGTAAGCCACTTGAAAATCTCCTGGACAGTGATGTAGAAACAGACAAACAAATATGTCAAGGACCAAACCTTTCAACCAGGAAACATGATCATGGAATCACTACTGCGCAGAAAGAGGCCATTCAGCCCATCATGCCTGCAACAGGTCTTTTATCTTCTGCCAATGTCTTGCCTTTTCACTATATCACTGCATGCCATTTCTTTTGAAATAGACAACCAATACCCTCCTAAATGCTTACACGTTCGCGCTCCTATCAATATCAAGTGAACTCTTAAGAGCTCATTCAGTGGCCCAGACTGAGTTGGCAAGAAGCTCAGGAATGGGAATTATTTAATTCAGATCCCAAATCAGGGCAAAAACAAAGGCTGTGTCATGTCAACATGATAAAGTAATACCGCCACTGAGAAGGTGACAAGCAAATAACAGTCTGTCCCATTTGTACTGACCTACAGGATGTGGGAGACAGGGTGGATGACTTGAAAGGAGAGATAGATGAGACCCACATTGAACCCCTACTACCTGCCTGATCAATACAGAAATAGTAGCAAACTTCGACTCCTTATTCACCCACCTAGGTGCAGAATAGTGAGCTAACTGAATTCAAGAGCTTATGTAGGGACAAGCCACTCTGCCCCACCCTGGCTCTACATGATGTGTATATCAGACAGGACCCTCCCATCGAGCAAAATCCCTGTGGTCTCGGCCCAAAAGGCCAGCCCAGTTTGAGGAGGAGATTAGCTTCAGGCTGGAGCACCAATAATAGGGCCCAGCAGCAAGAGCTGGAGCTCTGAGTTGTGCACATGCTCAGACAGCTCCATAAAGCTCAGTATTTACTAATCATGTTTTCTTGTTTTGTTTTCAGATGCCAGATGTTTCTTGTTCTGCCATTCCCACATCCCCTGCACACATCAATTGTTTCTTTACTTGTTCCATTGCCTTTGGCTCTGCCCTACTAAGTAAGCAGCACAGTGACTCAGCTCTTAGCTCTGCTGCTTCACAGCGGGTTCAATTCCAGCCTTGGACGATTGTCTGTGTGGAATTCGTACATTCTCCCCGTGTCTGTGAGAGTTTCCTCCGGGTCCTGCTGTTTCCTCCCACAGTCCAAAGATGTGCTGTTTAGGTGGATTGGCCATGCTAAACTGCTCTGTGGTGTCCAGGAATGTGTGGGTTAGGTGAATTAGCCATGTGAAATGCATGGTTATGGGGATAGGGTCGAGGGGGGTCTGGGTGGGATGCTATTTGGAGGGTTGGTGCAGACTTGACAGGCCGAATGGCCTGCTTCCACACTGTAGGGATTCTATGATTCTAACTATTCAATCCTTTAATATATCCCACCTACTGATCTTATATTTTTCCTCTCTTCTAGCTCCTCTTTTCAACTCACTTAAAATTTCTACCTACTTGAGTCCTATTCCATTCTAACTTTTCCCAGCTCTGATAAAACGTTGTTGATCTGAATTGTTGGATGGAAGGGAATAACTTCCAAATTGGAAGCATGGTTTATTTGATCACGAGGGTGGAGTGCTCCTGCCCTCTTGCCTCGGCCCGATCAAGAATGCAATGGGACGACCATGAGATGAAGAGGAATTACATCTCTGAGTGGCATGCGTCCATGGAAACCACGTCCCCAGAGAAGAGTGCAGACCTGGTCATTTAATACTTTTAAAAGAGAGCTAGGTAGATATGTTATCATGGGAGTCAATGGCAGGTAAGTGCAGAGACAAAAAAATACTGCAGATGCTGGAATCCAAGGTAGACAAAGAGGAAGCTGGAAGAACACAGCAGACCAGGCAGCATCCAAAGGAAAGGAGCAGTCAGCATTTCAGGTATTACCCTTCTTCAGGACTGAAAAAGAGTAATACCTGAAACATTTCCTCCAGGTGCTGGCAGGTAAGAGTAGTTGAGGCCACAATCAGATCTGCCATGATCTTGTTGTGTGGCAGAGCAGTCTCATGGGGCTGAATAGCCTAATCTAGCTCCTAACTCATTGTTTAAAAAAAGCAACCAAGAAAAGATAGAAGACAGCATTGCAAAATTGAAAATGAACTTTAGTCTCTTCACACGGTGCAGCAAATACTTTCGTCAACTTGACACTTAGTGATGGTGACCTCTCCAGGTGAATGAGAAATAAATATGGAGTACCCAAAACTAGGGTACCCTGCA